CTGAAAAGAAAGAAATAGAGAAGGGAGCTAGAAAGTAAGAGAAGAAATCAAGCCAAAAAGTTCAATCCGTAAGCAACTCTATGGGAAACTGACTAAAAGAGTGGAAGAATTCACACACACAATAAAGCTGGTGAAACTCACAACTCAGATGAGTGCTCTAATGAAGCAATGAAAGGAGTTAAGTTAACTCTTCATCGATAATCTCAAGGAGCATTACCCTGCCACAAGAAGACTGTTGGTTGTGAGGGATTACTCGGGACGAGTAATTTCTAGTTTTGGGGTGTTGATAGTCCTCAAGAGTTGAGGCCCGTTAAGTGTAAATTGTTCCACAAAACCCATGTTTTTGTTATAAATCACTCCCTCTAACCTTCTTCTTTTCATATAGAGCAACTGTTTTGAATAGTGGACCAGAGCAATGCCGAAAGTGGGAATTAAGGTAGACCTGGAGCAAATTTAACATTATCTTTTTCACATATAACTATTGGGTTAGTTTGCTTTGTTCAGGACACCTAAGGCCCATCAAAAGGAACCACAAAATGAAGAGAGAAGAAGGAGTGTTGCGCAGAAAGGAAAAAGAAGTCTGCTATAGTACAACAGCAGTCAAAGGAAGCAATGGGGAGCCGCCACGTCAGCTACAGCAGAGAAGGTGGAGGTGCTGACCTGAATCCGATACTCCTACTCACAAAGGGAGCCAAAAGCAAGGGGGACCACTTCCATTTAAGGCCAAGCTGGCAAGAAGCAAAGCTACCATTGGAGAAGATTTAGACAAAGCGCAACCCTTGATGAAAGGAACAATGGAGATCAAATGAAGAACCCTATAAAAGGAACAAGCAATCCTCATAGAGAGGGAGAATCAGCATCCATCCTAGGACCGGTTGTCTCTTTGTTTTCCTATTTCTTTGTAAAAATGCTCACTAAGAGATAACTTCCTCTAAGTAGGTGAGGGTTCCATAGAAGTAATCCATTTTGTCTTGGGATAGCTTTGTAAGGAACACATATTTTATAAATGAATTTTGAGTTGCTCTTTGGTTTAATTTATTGATTTTGTGAAACCCTTTGGGCTGGCAACCTCATCCCGAGACCACTCGGTTGATGAAACACTGACAAAGGCGTGTGGAGCATTCTCAAAATCCTGGGGTAGTTTAGCCTGAAGAAAGGAGGGATAAACACCTGGAATGGGGAGCACTGCCATGTGAATCCATGCTCTTTTGAGAAGGCAGCATGGTTTCCTTGCATATAACTCCAAGTACTATGGAGTAACGTGGAGAGTAAGGCCTTACCCTCTGCTTACCTATAGCAAAACAAGGGAAGGAGCAAAATCCACTTGTAAAATATGCTACCAGGCAGGGTTAACCAAAGGGATGAAAACATGGAACCCGTAACACCTACTTGATCTTTTTCTTTCTGAAATTAATCTTAACTCAATTCCTATCACAACCTTTTCCTCACGATAACTGAACTGTGTTTTACTAGCTGATGATCTTTCTTTCATTCATTGACTGCTCTTAAAGTTACTTCAATTGATGACATTTTATTCGATGACCATGCTAAGTCATTCATTGCTCTCATCTGGTTCAGAATGGTTAACATTGTTTAACTAGCTGCTCAGAGATTGCTCTTTGTGAAGCTTAGCTGAGAATAGTGATTTCCTTTATTGCTCCATTTTACAAATTAAGTTTCCTTTAGCGCTTCTTACTTCACAAATGCTCCCTGAGGACGATAAATCTGGGGCTATAATACCCTATATTGCTTGACACGTACGCTTGCGTATAGTTGAAGAGGGTTGCTCTTAGTCAGAGTAGATTGCTCCTGTTGGCAATCCTGATTACTAATCTACACTCTTGCTCTCTGAAAGAAATATTCCCGAGCAACTCTCGGTTCAACCAAGCAGTTATCCTCAACAATTAAATTAAATATAAAAAATTAATAAAAATAAAAACTTTTTGCACATTCTAGGAAGAATATGAGCATGAATGTCATAGACGTTAGAAATTTTAGCTAAAAAAATGTCAAGGAACTAAGCTCAACATCTCCTACTTATTAGAAATAAACTAAAAACAATAAAGGAAAACAAAAATTAAAATAATCAAAAGAAAGAATTGTTGGGTTGCCTGCTAATAAGTGCTTGTTTAACGTCATGATACCTTCCTATGATTATGTGGGCTCAAAGTAATTGCTTAGTGATGACCATGTCCCCTCGGTAAAATATAATGTCCTTCTATATACTCCTTTACATATAGATGAGATTTAGTAGCCTCAGGATCTCGAAAATTAGTTTTTTTGTGTTTTCTCTTGCTCTTGGGCTATTCTATCTTAACATTTGGCTTGCATTCTTGAGGAGATTTTTTCTTGTGCTCTTCCCCACCTTTCTTTTCATCAATATAATAGACTTGATCTTCCATTGAGCTATAGGTGGTGGAACTTCTTTTTCAAAAAACTTGAATATTGCTTTCTCTCCATCTACCCTTAAGATTGACTCACCTTTCGATACATCAATCAATGCTTCTAAGGTTGCCAAAAAGGGTCTTTCAAAAATTATAGGAACAATAGCATCTTTCTCTATATCGAGGATGACAAAATCAGCAGAAATGACGAACTTGTCTTCTTGACCAATATTATGACTTCTCTATATTGGTCTTTTTACAGTCTATCAAGGAAAACACATTCGTTCCCAATATTATGACTTCTGGTCTCTTATATGTTCAGTCAAGGAAATCACATTCATTCCCAAGAATGAAGACCAATTGCGCAAGTGCACACATCAAGTAATAAAGAAGAGTGTTTAAGTCCCAGATTATCGTTCCCGTGGAGAAAGTATGCTAAAATAAATTTCAAGCTATGTTAAAGAATAAAAGAATGTGTTATGGGTAGTTGTTCCCTAGTATCACAGTGATGTCCTTCTGTGACAAAAAAGTGCTAAGCAACTTAAAACAATTCCTCGCGTCGTTATATATTCCAATATTTCCTAATTCAAGGATGAACGATAAGTTATAAGAAAAGTGTTGGTTGTGGTATGATGCAGTTTGAAAATAAAATGTGTAGAAAATAAAGTGTGCACAAAATAAAATGAGTAGTGGCACGCAATAGTAACAGCATTAACATAGTGGAGAGACAAATTGAACGACAATTTTAAGAAAAGGAATGTGTAACGTCCGGCAACTTGCAAGCATCAACGACTATCCCCACACACTAACATGAGACTTTTGAGTGTGCTTTGTCCTCACTCGCACACTTCCCGGGAAAACTTCCCAGGAAGTCACACATCCCTGAATTGCTCCAAGTCAAGCACGCTTAACTGTGGAGTTCTTCCGATCCGGGCTACCGAAAAGTAGATGCATCTTGTTAGTATAGGTAGTACCAATTAATTCTTATAAGCTATCCTTAGCTGTGTTGTCCTATACCAGCACATTCTCTGGAATCTCTCTCTTTCCGGTGTTATTCGATTCATTCATGTACCCCCGCCGCTGGAAGCCTGCCAAGAGCCGCTCCTTGTCCGTGCCCTTGCGCACCGGCGATTACTCCCCGTCCTCGTCAGCACCCAGGATGTTACATGCCCACCAGCTTCTGCCTGGTTCGTCCTCGAAACACTTAACTGTGGAGTTCTTCCGATGCGGGCTACCGAAAAGTAGATGCATCTTGTTAGTATAGATAGTACTGATTAATTCTTATAAGCTATCATTAGTTGTGTTGTCCTATACCAGCACATTCTCTGGAATCTCTCTCTTTCTGGTGTTATTCGATTCATTCATGTACCCTCGCCGCTGGAAGCCTGCCAGGAGCCGCTCCTTGTCCGTGCCCTTGCGCACCGGTGATCACTCCCCGCCCTCGTCAGCACCCGGGATGTTACATAATTGATACACTAATCCACTGTTAAGCTAACTATAGCCTAGGCTCAAGACCTCATCCAAAGGATTTGTTCAAGTCTCTTCAATGTCAACTTTGATTCCTCAGCTCATGGGCTAGATGGTATACGAAGCCCCATATTCCTATGGTGACTTAGTTCCCAACGTTTACTCTAGCAAAACCTCAGTGAACGAGAGGTCCCTTATTCCTAAGGCAACCACTGAAAGCAGTGTTATAAGAACCGGACCGGACCGGCCGGTTCAAACCAGAAACCAGTAAACCGGCCATGTGACCGGTCCAGGAAAAGTAATAGATCGAAAATGCAAGTGACCCGGTGTGAATCGAAGTGAATTGGCCAGTTTTATTAAAACCGGTGACTCGCCGGGTAAAAAAAAAATTCAGTTGGATGAAACCAAACACAGAAAAGGAGAGGGAGGAGGAGACCATGAAGAAGAAGGAGTCGAAGATATTACAAGAAAGATTGGCCATGAAGAGGCAACGATGTAACATCCCACATAATTAGGAAATTACATAACTTGCAATTAGGGGCGTGAAGCATGCTTGAAATTCGAATTAAATTTGTGTTTAGGGTGGAATTAATTTATATAGGAAAATTATATTTTTGTTGCTATTATAAGCGAGTATATGTGTATATTTTAAAAGATTCAACACACTAGTTAAAAAGGGATAGCATTAAGTTTAATTACAATTCAGATGTAGGAACTCTAGTTACTAACTAGTGGGAACATGAAATAATAATTTATATTATATGACATAAGATTGGTGAATCTTTAAGAAGTTATTTAGAACGCCATGGTGGAGGTGAATGCATGTCATGAATTAAAAATCGAAGTATGTATAGGATAGGAATATTTTAGGTATTCTTTATGAAAACACTAGTTACAACTTAGTGGCTACATGAAACAATATGGCTTAGGTAAATTATTGTGTCCAAGTTCTTCCATGGGCCACGGCCCAAGTCTTTTAAGTGGGGTTTAGGGCAGCCCTACACTTTTCTACTCATGAACCTTAGCTTATCCCAAAACAAAATCTGTATGCTACCATTGATTGGCCAAGGAGAAGACACATGTCCAACCTTATCTCTCCTTATCTCTTCTTGGGCGCATAATGCAAGGGAAAAGAAATATGAATTACAAGACTTTAGTAAGCCACCTAAACCTTAAGAGACATCTTGAATCTTCCATCCTATGTTCGGCCAAGACACTTTGATGACCAACACTTCACCTTTTGAAAGCACAAGTTGAATGCTCCACTCCATGCGCAAGGAAAACTATCACCCAAGACTGAATATTGCTCATATTAACTCAGAGCATAACACTACCATTCTGCACCCTCCATCAACTGTCCATCAAGTCGAAGGCTTGCAGGCTCCTTCCTCCTCCCTATTCCCCACAAACCGTGAGCTACATAAGAGGACAACGACCATCCAAGTTTTCATTCTTTCCCTGCATGGTTTGGATGATTGGCAGCAGCCAAGGAGAGCACACCATGAGTTCATCCTTCATACGTTTCTTGTTTGGCCGCGTGTTATATAATTGTAGAAATTTTCCTTACTCACTTGTCACCCTTCTTTCTTCGGTCTGATGAGGAGATTCATTGCATGCAGATTACTCCCTTGGTTTTTAATAGAACTCCCTTGCATGCAGCGTCAAACCCAACAACAACAAGAAAGAGCAGCATCTTTGAGTTCTGACTCAATTTCCTTCGCCCACAAGAACAAGTGAGCAATTCACACATTACTTGCTTTCTGACTTTGGTATATGAGAGGATGAGTGGGTTGTTCCTTATATGTTTTCTGTTTTATAATCCCTTGGACAGTGAGAATGTGAGGTGCTGCCCCTTTTTGGTTGATACTCATGGACTGATTTGAAAGCAGGTTGGGAACGTATAAAAGGTAGGAATCTGAAACTGTGCCCCCCTCCTTTTCCTTTTTCTGATTCAATTTTTTTGTATTCAAGGAGAAGATGTTTGTCATTCTTCTCCTTTGCGTTCTGTCCATTGGAAAACCCATAGACTTGGTGCTTGTAAGCACAAAGAGAATCGATTGGTGAGCTTGGAAATGGCTCCCGTTAGTTTTGCTGGACTGTACCTTGTATTAGAAAAAATTAATTAAGTTTTGCATGTGTTAAACCCGTGAAGGCAGCCTGCTAAAATGTGTTTATTCATGCCTAAATTAAGTAGATAGGTCTTGTTAAATAGAAATGGTTCATAGACTTTGATTCTGTTTTGGAATGAGGTATTCATGTTATAAATTGAACAAAATTCTGTTTTGTAATAACTTAGCATTGAGCACTAGAACCCATTGTAACACCCATGATTATTGGCCATATGAAGAAAACTAAGGATAGGAGAACTTGTCAACATGCCTTATGTGTTCGGTTTTAGTAATAATTTAATGATAAGAACCGGAGCCCCATTGATTATATGAACCTCGGCCAAACCCCTTAGGAATGAGAAATAATAGTTAGGAAAATGAGAAAACTTCACCCTTGAAGTTTTGGACACCTCCGAGTATCCCTACAGAAAGGAAGATGTGCTCCTTTGTCATTCTTCTTTTCTTCGGTTCGGTCACTACTTGTGTACCATGAAGATGTATTTTTGTTTTGCTCAATGTCCCTCCTTGCTTCTACCATTTTCGGGCAATCATGGATTTCGGCCTACATGTTTAAAGAACCATTTTAAGATTGGAAGAGAACTTCTTATCACACTTTAGGACTGCCTTGTTGGACCAGAATTATAAACTGCTTTCGAATGTTGGAAATCTGTATGGATAAGTTATGTGAAGGTCTCATTAGCGCCCTCTTAGGCTTGTAGGACACACTATGTAAAATGATAAATTTATAAGCACCTAGGGAAGATTAAAACTGAACCTGTGTGCATAAGGAGTTGTGAATTTTGGCACTTGTATAACTGAAAAATTTGAAAGCGTTGTTGATGATTATAGGATCGAACTTACTTGTGATAGAAACCTTGACTTTGTATCTTGATAACCAATGGTAAATAAAATGTAAGTCAGAAGCAATTATATCTTGTAATAGAAACGTTAAATCCGATTAAACCCAAGAGTTAGGGAGCATGGAAATTATTTATAAATCATGGGAAACAAAGATGAGAATTCTGATTTTTGGTACCTATTGTTTAGGTGTGCTAACTTCGAAAAGAGTGGGCTGATTGTTGGTGTTTTGATTAAAAAGGGTTAAAGACTCGAGGTAAGTGTTTGGTGGTGAGACCTATTGTGACTATTAGCTAGTGTTTGGAATTGTGAATTGTTGCTCACATGTGCCTTGGACTCGTATTCTGTTATATGTTATATGTATTCTGCCTTGAACTTGACATGATGGAAATTGCTTTGGGAAGCATTTGTTATTCGGCAGCTTGGTATTAAAAATACATGAAATATATGAGATTATGATGATGATCTAGTCATGTATATGTACATCATAATTCATCTGTTTCTTTTTGTGTGTGCGAAGCATATCATGGCATACAGCATTGAGCATCCAGCTTGGAAACTGAAGTATATAATACAAGTAAGCATATGATTGAGCACGCATCATATAGGCATCCCTCCGGTTCCAGGGTATGGCACACTTGGCTTTAGTCTGCATAGGTCACAGTTGGAATTCACCTTTGATGGAGCCAATATGGAATATCCACTGTGTTAGGTAGTAGTACGTGCACCGCAGTGCTATGAACGTACATTACTTTGGCGTTATATACGCATCATAATTATTACTTTGGCGTTATATATGCATTATGATTAGTACTTTGGCGTTATATACGCACTATGATTATATGTTAGCATCTATCCGGAAAATTATATGTTGATGCGACTGTTTTGGAATTTTGTACCTAGTCTAATATTGTTGCTTTACTGGTTTTACTATCACACTACTGGGATTTTTCTCACCCCTTCGGGGGCTCAATTTTTATAAATTGCAGGAAGACGTAAAAGCATTTGACGAAGTATTTGATTTGGACATGTTCTGTTTATTTGCTGCTCCTATTTTGGAAATTTTGATGTGACATGCTGTTTCTGTTGATTGTTAGCTGATCACTCTAGTATGTTGTACTATTTTGAGATGCTGGAAGAAAATGATAGAACATGCCTCAATTTGTTGTATTTGGATTCTTATGGTTAGTTGTAAATTGTAAGGTTCTGGTCATATTTCGCAAAAGTATTTTATGCACGTTTTGAATTCTGCCTTTTAAACGGTTTTCGCGAGCACTTTACGAGTTCCGTTTCTGTGGCTACAGACCTCCGATTGGAGTATAATTTATATGCACTTAAAGCCCCAGATGCCTAGTTTCATACTATATAAAGTTTGTGTCCACAGCATGTAAGCACGGATTTTAATGATTTTTGCAAGTCAAGTAGTTTTGGGAATAATTTTCACTGATTTATCTCTTACTTTGCGAGTTCTGTTTCGAGAGCTAAACACCTCCGAATGAAATGATTTTTATATGCACGTAAAGCCTCGGGTGTCTAGTTTTCTTTTATCAAAGAATATTTTTTTAAGCTGTTGAACTTGAATTTATACGATTTTTTCAAGGCAGCAAAGTTTTCTGGAGAACTGTCATTTCCGCAAGCTATGACTTTTAACAAGCCCTACTCTGATTTTTTTTTTGTACAACCAGATTTCAATGCAAGATAATGTATTGTGACTTAAAAGTTCATTTTAATTATTCAATTCTATTCCGTTACGACTCTAATCCGCTTAGCAGACAACTCCCTTGGCCGCGTACAGGGGAGGGTGTCACAAACGATGTCCGGCCATTGAAGTCTGAAGAGAAGACAGCGAAGGATAGAGAAGTTTAAAAACAGCGATGAAGAAGAAAGAGAAAATGAGAGAGAGAGAGAGAGGGAGACTTTGAGAAGTTCAAAAACAGCTGTGAAGAAGAAAGAGAAAATGAGAGAGAGACTTTGGGTTTCGTAATTTGCACGTTGCATTGCACATTGCCACTAATTTCTTATCTTATCTCTTTCTTTTATAATATTTTTATTATTTAAATTTACAATTTTTTATTTCTTTATTTTCACTATCTCCCTGTACGCCACTAATTACTACGATGTCATTATTTTTTTTTTTAAATTGAAATATGAAATATAAATTTTAAATTTTATATATATTTATCTGGTTTAAGCGGTTGAACCAGTGACCCAGTGGTTGAACCAGTGACCCAATGACCCAGTACCTTAACCGGTTCAATCACCGGGCCGGTTCTGATAACATTGACTGGAAGTGTTTTCATACTCTTCACCTTCCTCCTATTGTTCAGCTGTCTGAAATCTCTTTCTTATGGAAGTTACTTTCTCAGTCATGTTCAAGGTCAGATGATACAAGATATTAATTCACTTAAATAATAGAAACCCCATTGAAATAAATACTAGAGATTCAGCGATAGAGATTTAACAGGTTCATAACTTTTCCATTTCAAAAAAAAGTTAGCTAATGTTCAAAGACATGGCCGAAAATACAAACACAATCTTATCAACTTGAGATCCCATAGACCCGAGATTCAAGCTGATGAAGACGAAATAGTAGAAAAGCAGTTTACAGACTCATCAAAATAACTAAATACAGTGATAAAATGCAAAATGAAGAAGATTATGGTTTTGCTCGTGAGGAGTCTCAAGGGGAGAATAAAATAGAGAAGGGTGTTGCTCCTAAGTTACACCCACATGCCAAAACTCGTTGAGAAGAAGCTGGTTATGTCAAGGCTAAAGCTAAGGATTTCCAGACTTCAAAACTTCTTATGCCTTCATTCGATTTTCTATTTATAGGATGGGGAAGACAGTGGCAATCTTGCAATTACTTCAAGTCATTCCCTGCACCATTGGATCGAGGTTGCTTCTTTCTTTTGTCAATGGGATGATGGACTTTAAATTAGAGGGGATTAAATTTTAGCTTAGTTTTCTTTTTTGCTTTTGCTTTCCTAAGGATGATTCTCTGACACACAGACGCATTTTGCATCTTCATCCGAGCTGCTGCATGTCGCGTTTGTCCTTTTTGGTGCGCCTTGCATTCGTACTCTACAGAAAAGTAAACAGTAGGTGTGAGTGGAATCAAAAAACAAAAGTAAGGACAGTTCACCACTCTTTTGTCCCTTTCTTTCCTCACTTTTCACATTGGCAGTTGTTCCTCAACGAAGACTAACCTTTATTGCAATTATACTACTATTTAAGACTAAAACTAATAAAAAGGACAGAACAACCTTCATTCCACGCAGAAAATTGAAGCAAATGGGAATGAAATTTTATCCCATCAAATACCCCAAGACTTAACTATTGTTCGTCCTCGAACAACTCAATGCAATAATCATGCAATAATCAAAGTCATATAGGGTTATTGATCCATATCTTGCCAATCATTCATGGGTACTATTTCACTCACCGTTGCGAAAAACTTATGGTTCCTTGAACTTGAATTGCCTTTGTTTTCCTATCAATCACTTATTTTCTTCAATCAAAAAGACTTTTATGGATTGTAATAGGGCTTAAGCTTGGGTGAAAGTGTTTGGAAGTGGGTTGATTTAGAGCAAGAATGACTTGTTTCTTCTTTGTTTCTGCAAGAACATTTCTTTGTGGCATGTTGGGAACGCCTTTGTTTTTTACTGCATTTACTATTTTTTGGGAAAATATTTCTTTTTTATTTCTTTGCTGGCAGTTGCTTTCTTTTTTTTGTTTCGGGCGTTCCTCAAAAGTCTTTGGACTTTTCTTTGTTGATGTTCTTGATTGTTTTTCAATATTTATGTTGTTGAGTTAAAATTGCTACTTCACACCGAAATATTTTTCTTTTTCTTTTTCTAAACAGTTAAATAATTAAAGGCAAAAGATTGTGCAAAGAATAACACCAAAGCAAGGCACTTCATTCCAAATAGCAAAAAGTATCAACGATAAACAGCACTAAATAACAATATTAAAATATTAAACATTAAAATATGCAAGAATATAAAAAGAGCAAAGATAAAAAGGGATAGGGTTAATGTTTTCAAACGGGCTTCTGGTAATCCTCTTGAAGTCTCAAGAGCAGCTGGTTCACACTAAGCAAAGGACACAAAACTAGTGTATGGGTAATCGTTTCCCTGCCAGCTAATTCAGGTTATCATTCCATCAAATGATTAAGATTTAAGTAAAAATGAATGAATAGATTTAGGGCCATAGTGGTGGCCTTATTGTGCCTCATTGGCAGCTTCTCCAGGTCCTGGAGGCGGGACCTTTTGGTTGAATAATGTTAGGGAATGATGATAGATACTCTCGATATCGGTAACTACATTCTAGAATTTTGTCCACACCTAATGCTTGTCCAAGCCTCCTCATTTTTTTTAAAGTTGGATTTGTATTTGTTCTACTTGTAAGAATTTGAATTCCATTCCACCGTAATGTTTCTCCCACTCTTCATTCCTCCGCTCGAACACTTTAATGAATTGATGCAGGGTCTCCTTTAAAACAGCTTCTTCTTTCATAGCTCATAAGAGTCATGGGTTCAATTTTCTTTCTATCAACTCCTTTTTTTGCAATTGATCCAAATTTTCCAGTATTTTTATTCTCAGCATAGATCTTTTTATTCTCACCTTTGAATTTTCTATATTTTAATGTAAGACGTTGTCTATCTTAGCAAATTGATTATAGAGTTGCTCAAACTTAGGATCCAACACGGAGAACAATTTTAATCTGAGGTGTTAGAACAAGCCTTTAGTTTTCCTTTAGTTTCTTCCTTGTGGATGAAAGTTTTCCTCCGCCCACCAATAGTGTTCATGGTTCCTTCCTAAAGGATAAAGGTTCAAGTTTAAGGTGGTGGAAGAGGAATGATGCGAATTTTAAGTTTTCAGTAACTTAGCTCACAAAATACAAAGGCTTTTAGAGAAAGAAAATTTGAATGTGAATACGTAAAGGAAGAGAGGTTGAGTATTAAATAGAATAAGGATGAACGGTTGTCGAGAAGTGAATAGCAATCGTTGCGATTAAAGGGTGAGAGGTGGAGTGATTGATGTGATGATCAAGTTTGGGGACTCGGCAGATAATAATGACAGGTGTAGGTCTGCATACTTGATTTGGGGAGAGGTAGGAAACGCACACTGCACGGGGACACACTCGGTGGAGTGTTTGTTCTTAATTGTCACTTTATGGAGTTGTCTATAATTAGTGCACAATCTCGTGCTCTCTTCTATCTTCTTCACAAAGATGATTGGTGCTCCCCATGGGGAAACACTCTGTCGGATAAACTGCTTAGCTGAGAGTTCCTCAATGCGCTTCTTCAATGTAGCAAACTGAATTTGGAATTTTTTTCCAAGTCATCCCATGGGAAAATGCTTCCAGTCGGCAAGTTGGTGTACCAGATGAGTGCTCTTTTGCCAAAAGTTTAGTGAAAGTTTTGCACATAAGGAGGTATGTTTCCCCGTGAAAAGTCATGGTCGCTTTGAATTTTTGTATCCACTCAAACGGATCAAAATCTCCAACATATGTGGGGATGTTAGATGGGCCTTTGAAACCGAGCAGTATAGAAGTCAGTTGTAGTGCGTCGATCAGCGGCTTGTTACGACCAGCAGGGTTGGATGAAGTGATTTGGGCGGCTAAATGTCGTCTGTCTTGGCATCGTAGACTGTCATGATGGAGGGATGGTTATTCTCCACCGAGCTCATTGTGGACAGAGTAAGAGGGTCCTGGTCCGAGCGGGTAGTTATTCAGTTGTTGCTGGCGTTTGGAATTATGTAGAAGACTAGGGTTTGGTGAGCAGATGATTGGTAGGCACATCATAGGCAAGGTAAGGAGCTGAGGCGACTTAAGGTTGCATGGCGTTCGTGATGAGAGGTTGTGGCATTGGTACAATAATTTGATGAGGAAAGGGGTGAGGAGGGTATCTAGTAACAACTGGTAGACCATGAGGGCCATGTATAATGACTGGTTGACTCTGTTGCGGTTGAGTGGTTACTTGCTGGATACCGATCGGTATTTCACCTTGGCTGACAGGAATTTGCTGGGGCATCCCATGGTGGATCTGAGGCGGTGGTGGTGGGATTGGAATCATGCTTTCTACTTGTACTTTATAATAACCCTAATTACATGACTTTTAAATTAGAGGGTTATGATGAGGACCTTATGGTCATAAATAGAATGAGAATGAAATTCTAAGAATTTGGATACACTTATTGAGGTATTCCAGTTAAGTGAATTTTC